GATGGGCAGAGAAGAACATCAGTTGTCGAGTGGACAATAAATCTTCAGTTACTTGTTTCTGGAAGCTGACCAACCCAAGATTGGCAGAGAAGAATGTCAGTTGATGAGTTGCTTGTTTCTAGAATCTGACCAATCAAAGATGGGCAGAGAAGAACATCAGTTGTCGAGTGGACAATACATCTTCAGTTGTTTCTAGAAGTTGTTCAATTCAAGATTGGCAGAGAAGAATGACAGTGGATGAGTGGACAATACATCTTCAGTTGCTTCTTTCTGGAAGCTACCCAAGATTGGCAGAGAAGAACATCAGTTGTCGAGTGGACAATACATCTTCAGTTATTTCTAGAAGCTAACCAATCCAAGATGGGCAGAGAAGAAAGTCAGTGGATGAGTAGACAATACATCTTCAGTTGCTTCTTTCTGGAAGCCGACCATCCCAAGATTGCCAGAGAAGAACGTCGGTTGAAGAAGAAAGAGATTGGTTCCTGAAGGTGATGGAGAAAGTTTTAGGTTCAGTTGGACAATCAAGTTCACGAGAAGAAAAAATACAGGAAAGGTCTAAGAGAACATCTTGGGAATTGGGTTTAACTCCAGATTCATTTTAACGAGGAATCAGTGCTTTGTCCTTTTCTTCGTGTCCACGAGCTGGGATTCTAACTGGACCAGTTCCTGAGCCTTGTGGACACGGTTCTGAATGTACTGGTGGGCCTCCTCGTCATCAGCTTCCTCGTGACTCGTTTCAGATGTATACATCAGATCATGATCAGAGATGCCAAACATCTCCAACGAGTAAAGAAAGGCAATGTGTTCGTCTAAGTTGGCATCCGAGTTTCTTTCGGTTCCGTGCAAAGACTGGAGCTGAAGTTGAGTCAACGAGTTTCTCGTGTCCGTCAGAACAAAGAGCTCTCTCAGTTCCTGCTTGGTAAAATAGCGATACGGGTTCTTCTTATCTCCTGTGCTTTGCCTTATCAACGAGTCCTTAAAGACCTGACGCCGGTAGATCTTCTCCTCAACCGTCCCACAGGTGATCAGACGGTAGATCACAACGTTCTCCTTTTGCCCGATCCTATAAACTCGGTCTACAGCTTGCAAATCCGTGGCTGGATTCCAGCTGGGATCAAAGATCACCACGCGGGTAGCAGCTGTTAAAGTGAGGCCCACGCCACCGACTTGAGTGGTCAGGAGAAAGACCGAGTAGCTTTTGTCCGTCTGGAAGTCCCTCACCCTCTTCTCGCGTTCCACTAAACAGGTCACCGTGCCATCCACGCGCATGAACTTGACGCGCCGTTGGGTCAGGATGCATTCTATGATGTCCAACATTTTCCTCGACAAGGAGAACACCAGAGTTTGGTGGCCTTCTTCCCGAAGCTTGGCCAACAAGTCGACCAGGAACATCAACTTTCCAGATTCTTGAATCAGAACCTTCTCAGATACTTTCTGGATCTCCTGCATCAGGCCAACGGCGTCTTCTCCGTCCTCTTGACTCAAAGTTTCCAAACCAAGCTGGAGACAAGCTTGAGAAGACAACAACCTGGGGTGATCGCAGAGTTTCTTCAGGACGGTCAGCTCCGCCAAGGGGGAACGGGTGGTCATCAAAAGTTGCTTAATGTGATCCAAGGAAAGGAAGTTCCTGTAAATGTCTTCCTGGACGGGTGACAGGTAGACCCAAATGATAAAGTCATTTTTTCTCGGAAGAGAAGGGATTTCCAGTGTATTCTGACCGGGCGAACCAGGCGCTTGGTCCGATCTCAGCTTCTGGATTTCATCTTTACTTCTCCTCAAGAAATGAGGCTGTATGATGGTCATCAAGTTCTCCGCGATCTTGAGACCGAGAGCTTTCTCCCCCAAGGTCGCGTCCTTCTCCCTCGCCCGGGTGATCGGATTCTCGTATTCCATCTTGAAAGTTTTGGCCGTGCCAAGGAGGGTGCCCTGACAGGCAAAATCAAACAGAGACCAAAGTTCTTGCAGGTTATTCTGCACGGGAGTCCCGGTGAGGAGGACGCGGTTCCTGGCCGGGATGGCGCGCAAGGCTTTTGTGGTCTTCGCCAACGGGCTCTTGATTTTGTGGGCCTCGTCTAAGATCAGGTAGTCCCAGATGAAGGCTTGCTGGTCACAGCTTGACAGCTGCTCCCAGTTGGCCAGGATCATCTGATAGGAGGTCAAAAGGACCCCCTTTTCGGTTTGGATTTGGTGCAAATGTTGGCCGCGCTCTTTCTTGCTCGTCCCGTGGAAAAGCTTCACCCGAATTCCCGGCGCCCACTTGGCGAACTCTTGTTTCCAGTTATTCACGAGCGTCACCGGCATAACCAGCAAGATGGAACAGACCAATTTTGCATCAAACATTCCGGAAAGGAAAGCGATGATCTGGATGGTCTTCCCCAAGCCCATGTCATCGGCTAAAATGCCCCCCTGGCGTCCTTCGCGGTAGAGGCCGTACAGGAAGGCCACGCCGTCCTTCTGGTGCTCGAAAAGCTGGTCGTGCATCTGGCGGTAAAGTAAGAGTCCGCTCTGGGCCACGTTCACACATTCGTCCGCCTCTTGTTCCAAGGCCAGGGTGACCAGCTTCTCCTCCACCTGTCCTAGACAACCGTTCAGATCTTCATCGGGTTCCCTCTCGGGTGGCGTCTCTCCGTGACGGGGGGTGGGTTTCTTTGCAGACCTATTCGGGGTCTTCTTTTCTGCCTGGGGTTCGTTTCTGCAAGACACAACTTCATTTGAAGGGCTGAGAAAAGCAACATGGGGGGGGGAAATATGCTATTTTTCCTCTGAACTGAATGTTGCTCCTTCCTTTCTTCCTTCCTTCCTTCCTTCCTTCCCCTTTCCTTCCTTCCTTCCCCTTTCCTTCCTTGTTCCCTTTCCCTCTATTTCCTTCCTTCCCTTTTCCTTCCTACCTTCCTACTTTCGTTCCTTCTTCCCTTTTCCTCTCTTCCTTCCTTCCTTCCTATATTCTTTCCTTCCTTCCTTCCCCTTTCCTTCCTACCTTCCTTTCCCTTTTCTTCCTTTCCCTTTCCCTTCCTTCCTTCCTTCCTTCCCCTTTCCTTCCTTCCTCTTTCCTTCCTTGTTCCCTTTCCCTCTATTTACTTCCTTCCCCTTTTCTTCCTACCTTCCTTTCCCTTTTGTTCCTTTCCCTCTCCTTCCTTCCTTCCCCTTTCCTTCCTTCCATCTTCCTTCCTTTCTTCCTTTCTTCCTTCCTTCTTTGTTCCTTTCCCTCTATTTCCTTCCTTCCCCTGTCCTTCCTTCCATCCTTCCTTTCTTCCTTCCTTCTTTGTTCTTTTCCCTCTATTTCCTTCCTTCCCCTTTCCTTCCTACCTTCCGACTTTCCTTCCTTCTTCCCTTTCCCTCTTCCTTCCTCCCTTCCTTCCTTCCTTCCTTTCTTTCTTCCTTCCTTCCTTCCTTCCTTCCTTCCTCTTTCCTTCCTTCTTCCCTTTCCCTCTATTTTCTTCCTTCCCCTTTTCTTCCTAATCCTTTCCTTTCTTCTTCCCTTTCCCTCTCCTCCTTCCTTCCTTCCTATATTCCTTCCTTCTTCCCTTTCCCTCTCTTCCTTCCTTCCTTCCTTCCCTCCCCTTTCCTTCCTTCCTTCCTTCCTTCCTCTTTCCTTCCTTCTTCCCTTTCCCTCTATTTTCTTCCTTCCCCTTTTCTTCCTAATCCTTTCCTTCCTTCTTCCCTTTCCCTCTCCTTCCTTCCTTCCTCCCTCCCTCCCTCCCTCCCTCCAATTTGGGTTAAGAATTAGGGAAGTGTGCTGACAAGACATTGATTGACGGTCACCTTGATTGATTTCAACTTCATAAAAACTCCCCCTAAGTCGGGCAGTTCACAACCCTGAGAAATGGGGTTTTTTTTCCCCCTTCCTCGGAGTGCCTTGACGCCAGCGTCTTTTGGGGGTTTTTTTCCACTGGGGCTCACAAACCGAGAAACGGGGTGGTTTGGATGACCTTGAGAGCCCCTTCAACTTTAGAACGTTATGCGGGTCGTTTAGTGAGGGTTTGAAGTTACCAAAGACTGGGGGGGGGAAAGCGGCTTATAACCATTTTTCACACTTAATGGCCATTACGGCGTCACTCCCCCCCCCTTGTGGTCACCTGTTCAAAATTCGGACGCTTGGCCACCGACTCGTATTTATGACGGTTGCGGCATCCCGTGTGTGTGTGTGTGTCATGGGATCCCCTTTTTGCGGCCATCTGACGAGCAAAGCCAAGGGGGAAAGCCATTTAACCGTGTTACTAACTTAACCGCTGCGGGTGATTCGCTTAAGAACCGCAACAAGAAAGGTCGTAAAACGGAGCCACTTAACAACCGTCTGGCTCAGGGGTAGGCAACCTCGGCTCTTTTATGACTCTTGGACTTCAACTCCCAGAATTCCTGAGCCAGCATGAGGGAACTATAGCCTCCTCATGACTGGTGGACTTCAACTCCCAGAATTCCTGAGCCAACATGGCTCAGCTTGGAAACTCTCCCTTTCCTCTCAGCATGGCTGGCTCAGGAATTCTGGGAGTTGAAATCTATGAGTCATAAAGAGGCCTAGGCCTAGGGCAGGGCTAGGCAACCTTGGCTCTTTTATGACTGGTGGACTTCAACTCCCAGAATTCCTGAGCCAGCATGGGGGAACCATGGCCTCCTCATGACTCGTGGACTTCAACTCCCAGAATTCCTGAGCCAGCTGTGCTGAGGGGAAAGGGAGAGGTTTCCAAGCTGAGCCATGCTGGCTCAGGAATTCTGGGAGTTGAAGTCCACCAGTCATAAAAGAGCCAAGGTTGCCTACCTCTGTCCTAAGTCCTCATTTTCAAAGCGGTGAGCCTCCTAGACCAGGGGTAGGCAACCTTGGCTCTTTTATGACTGGTGGACTTCAACTCCCAGAATTCCTGAGCCAGCATGAGGAAAACTTTGCCCCCCCTCATGACTGGTGGACTTCAACTCCCAGAATTCCTGAGCCAGCATGGCTCAGCTTGGAAACCTCTCCCTTTCCCCTCAGCATAGCTGGCTCAGGAATTCTGGGAGTTGAAGTCCACCAGCCATAAAAGAGCCAAGGTTGCCTACCCCTGGTCTGGCTGAATTGCGGTCGTAAGCCGAGGCTGGGATGGTTTGCAACCGTACTTTTTACGAGCTCCAGATTTTGAGAATTTAAAGGCCGGCAGGCAGAGAGCGGGGAGACGTGGGGAAGGGCGTGGCAGAGGGGAAATCACCCCCCCAGAAAATAATTAAAATTATATTTTAATTGAGAGTGGCTCTAACAACCGCATCTTGCTGTAAAGTGAGGACTTCCCGTATTTTACAAGTGAAGGAAAGAAAGAGCGGTTACACAACCCACAACATCTCCCCAACACTGTCTGAAATGCCATCTCCGAGACCCAGGCTTTCCTCCTCAATGAGAACTAGGCCCTTGGCTCTTACCTTTGGCCTTGATTCACCCGCCTGCTATTTCTGGCTCTGGTCACCATGACGGTTGCCATGATGGTCTCCACAAACCAGGATTATTCCAATTTTGTCTCCGAACAAAACAAAACAAAACCTGCAACCAAACAGAAGGTGTTCATAGGATGGAAGAGCTACAGAAAGAAATGTTGAGTTTTAAATAGTCAAAATAGCAGAAATGATATACAGGGAGTCCTTGACTTACAGCCGCCCGTTTAGTGACCGTTTGAACTTATAACGGCGCTGGGAAAAAAATGAATTACAAGAAGTCCTCGCACTTATGACCGTTGGAGCGTTCCCAGGATCACGTGATCCAAATCGGGGTGCTTGGCATGTTGCATGTACTTAAAGTGGCCATAATGTCCTGGGATCACTGGATCAGCATTCGCGACCTTCCCAGCCGGCTTCCGGGCAGCGAAGTCAATGGGGGGGCAGCTGGATTCATTTAGTGACCCCTTGTCAATTAACTGCAGCGACTCTCTTAACAACGATGGCAAAAAAAGGCCACACAGACAGTCCTTACGACCGTTTTTAACCCCAAATTCACGTTTGTGAAGTGAATTTTGCCCTGCTTTACGACTTTTCTTGCTTTGGTTGTTAAGTGAATCACCGCAGCGGTCAAGTTCTTTAAGCGAACCCAGGTCATCCCCCCCCCCGTGGACTTTGCCGGTCAGAAGGTCGCAAAAGGGGATCACGTGACCCCGGGGACACGGCGACGATCGTAAATACGAGGCAGTCGCCGAGCGTCTGAATTTGGATCACGTGACTACGGGGGAGGCTGCAACGGTCGTTAAGCGTGAAAAACTGGTCCTAAGTCACTTTTTTCAGTGCCGTTGTAACTTTGGTCACTAAGTGAACTGTTGTAAGTCGAGGACTACCTGTAAAATCAGGGGTGACTCCTTTAACCAACAATCCTTGCTTACCGACAGACATTCTGAGGTCCCATTTGTGGGCTATAAGTCAAGGACTGCCCATATAGGGGCCGTGTCCTCCCAACCCATCAATCCTGGTTACTGAATCAACCCGTTTTGAATAGAATAGAGCTGGAAGGGACCTTGGAGGTCTTCTAGTCCAGCCCCCTGCTCAAACAGGAGACCCTATATACCATCTCAGATAAGGAAGGAAGGAAGGAAGGAAAAGAGGGAGGGAAGGAAGGAAGGAAGGAAAAGAGGGAAGGAATAGAATAGAATAGAATAAAATAGAATATAATAGAATAGAAGGGACCTTGGAGGTCTTCTAGTCCAGCCCCCTGCTCAAGCAGGAGACCCTATATACCATCTCAGACAAGGAAGGAAGGAAGGAACCTTCCTTCCTTCCTTAAGAGGGAAGGAATAGAATAGAATAGAATAGAATAGAATAGAATAGAATAGAATAGAATAGAATAGAAGGGACCTTGGAGGTCTTCTAGTCCAGCCCCCTGCTCAAGCAGGAAACCCTATATACCATCTCAGACAAGGAAGGAAGGAAGGAAGGAAGGAAAAGAAGGAAGGAAGGAAGGAAGGAAGGAAAAGAGGGAAGGAAGGAAGGAGGGAAGGAAGGAAGGAAAAGAGGGAAGGAATAGAATAGAATAGAATAGAATAGAATAGAATAGAATAGAATAGAATAGAAGGGACCTTGGAGGTCTTCTAGTCCAGCCCCCTGCTCAAGCAGGAGAACCTATACCGTCTCAGATAGGTGACTGTCCAGCCTCTTCTTAAAAACCTCCAGGGATGGAGCTCCCACGATTTTCACCGTTTGCTCCATGCATTCAGTCGTAGCCCAGCCAAACAGGGTTCCTTTGCATGAGATGCTAAGCCCCACACCCAGGGAAACTAACCAGGGTTAATAAACCTAGTTTAGCAACTTGGGCCAAGCTGCCACTAAGTTTGTCCCTGATCCAGTTTCTCGTGCCAGGTAGCCTCTGCAGGCATCTGGTTGCCGAAATCGCATTAAGCGGGGCGCCAGGTACGTCTTTAATTAAATAGAGGTAGCTTGCTGGTCGGCAGGTAGATAAAAGCAAACTAACTCTTGGAAACAGGAGATAAATTCTACAAGTTAAAACAGGGTCGGTTTAGTCTATAAATACTACACAAAACCTTATACATAAAAGTTGCAGCTCACCCCCCAAAATGAACGTTCTCCAGTTTTTACCTAAATGAAGGCTTCTTTCTCTCAACGGAATA